TTTTTTTTTTGTAAAGTGTGTGCTATTTTTTGAGCTCTTTGTTGACACACAGTTTGGACTGAAAGCACACAGCTATCTGTATTGTTGAAGATTGTGCTTCTTCTAATTCTGTGTCCTATCTCTTTTCTCTTTGTCAACTACCCAGAGGATCAAGCTTTTTAGTTTTTTCATGTTGTATTTATCAAATATCTGACCTATATTGCTACCGGTTCTAAGTGTCCGAGAACGTGGTCTAAAGAGCCTTTCTTAGTTATGAATCCAGAGGTCATTGGCATATTGTATCCAATGGTATCTTGAGTACCTGGCATGTAGGTGTGTTTGGAACCATATTTCACAAGAAAGAACATCAAGCTCTCTTATATGTTATAATGACTTTTTTTTTTCTATAAAAGCTTTCTTAGTGTATGCTCCTTATGACAAGACATCTACCTGTTGCAATCCATATTAGAGGTTCTGTATTAATATAATGGAGTGTTTTTATATATTAATCTTCAAATAGAAATCCGAAGAATCTGATTCTTAAATAGTTCCGGATCATCCATGAGGTAGAGCAGTTTTCCACTGTGACATGGTTTTGGGCTCAAGTTTTCCAATGGCCCAGTGGTAGATTACAGGAAATAACTAGTTTGGGTGCAATATTCTTAGTTTATTCTCTCTAAATCTATAGCTGGAGTTGACATGTTTTTGTTTCTAAGTAAATGTGGGGTGAGCAGTTGTTGGCAGTGTGCTGTGTGTTTTCTTTTTGTTCGGTTAAAAACCTTCTGTTAATCGGAAAGGTATTTTTATTTTGACATTTCCTATGTTGGCTCCTGTAGGATCCTTTCGTGCTTCAAGTTAAATGCTTTTGAGTACCTTAACCTACCATTTGATTCCTCTATCGATGATGTGAAAAGACAATATCGTAAGGTAATCTTTACTGAAGATACCAGTGGATATTGTCAAATTGTCCTTACTGCGTTTGTTTTTTGTCATTGAGGAATAACAAATTTACTTTATTGCTGCTATATCCAACCACAGCTATCTTTGCTTGTTCACCCTGATAAATGTAAGCATCCACAAGCCAAGGAGGCATTTGGAGGTAATTAACCCTATACTTGGTCCATTGAATTCTTTTGTCAATCTTATGGTCTCAGGCTTCCTCTATTCCCCAAACTTCTGTAGAAGCTGTATGTGCATATGACATACCGTCAGAAGTATAAGTGAGAAAGAAAGTGGTCAAGTTAACGCATTTACTGGCGGCAACATTAAGTTGTACTTTATGCATGGAGAGACTCTGTACTTTTTATCCAAGAGTAGTAAAATTGCATCATCTCTAAGCACCTCATCAGAAGCTATCACTATCCAAGCTGAGCACTGTAGCCATTTTTAGGATTTCGTTTACTGTCATTGTTTTTGCCTACCTGTTCTTCTAGCAATACACTGTTATGGGATAATGCTTATTTCCTTGAAAATTAGATGATCAGTAGGGTATAATTTTGGAATGTCCAATAATATTACATTACATCCGACTATTGTAGTCTTTGTGTGTAGTTGTGTGTAGGCTTTGTATTCAGCTGTGTGCTTATTTGATGGTTTAAGTCACTATTCATGGAGATGGAAGTAAGTGTGCTAGGGATCCTTAATACTGTAAAGATTTTAACACATCAGATTGGTCTGCCAGTTTGGGAGGAGGTGGTATTGTGTTGATAAGTTTTTTGAGGAGGTGGCGTTGTTTTGATAATAATTCCAGTTTTTTCCTGGCAAAGGCTCGTGTTTAGCAGTTCCTGCCAGCTGATTTCAAATATGCCCAAACTATGTGCTAAAGCATTCAAAACTGTAATTACTCGATCTTTGATTACTCAACAAGAATGTTTTCAGGGCATGTTTGCAAAAGTTGATAGGATCATGTTTGTCCAGGATTAAATGAATCTACTACTATCCACAGAAGATTTATTATTTTGGATATTTGTAGACTTTGATAAGCCGCCTTGAAAATATCCAATATATAGCCAGAGCACCCTTTGGGATCCATGAAAAGAGTTGATAATTAATTAGAGTTGGTGGTTTATAAGGTGGGTTGGGAAAATTTCCGTCTTTTCACTAGCTAGTATTGAATGTAGAACTATTATCCTAAACCACCCCCGGGATTCCTTTTTCAAAAATCTTTGAATATTCTCACTGGCCTTACCTAGCCTACGGTCTTTTCTCCAACTCAGGAAAGCACAAAGTAGGGGTAACAATAATACATATCATTCATTTTCCCTACTCACATACGTGCGTCAGTGTTATTGTGTGTTGATTTTTTAATTCCGTTTTATATTATTGCTTTAGTTGCTTCTATAGAAGCTAGTGTAGTGTGTATCCAATTTAAATATCTCATTTGTTTTGTTTATGGACAGCATTAGCAAAAGCCCAACAATTATTACTCGATCCACAAGAGAGAGATTATATTTTGAACCAAGTTAATGCTGCCAAAGGTTAGTTCCCTCTTTTCCCTCCTTTCCCTCTCCGCTCTCTCTCAGTGGTGTCCTTTTTTTCAATCATTCATTTAGTATCAGGACCTACGAGTTTCACCTTGGTTAATTATATGTACATCAAAATTTGTAAAAAGCAATTGAAGCAAACTGTAAAATAGAATTAGTTATTAGAATATCGGAATATAAACTGTTGAGAGTCGTACATAGTTTTAAATGGCGAATGGCGAGGCGATTCGCCATGGCGAGGCCTCGCGAACACATGCCATAGAAGCTTAAAAATAATATATATATAGATAGTAATATCATATATTTAAGTTTAAGTGCCAAAATAATCTTAAATATTCTAAAAAAAGATAATATAAATTAAATTTAGTTGTAATTACTAAAAGCATCTAAGACTTAAATGTGAATACTAGTAATAAGGTAAATAAAAAGTGTAAAGTAAAAGAAATTGAAAGAAAAGGTGCTACACCCTGTCACCCTTGACTATTGACAATACTAGTAACATAAATAAAGTAAAAAAATGAAGAAAGAAGAAAAAGATTAGCGGCAGA